CTTACACAGAATCCAGGACTAGATTTGCTAGGTCTAGACTTGATAGAAGCACTTCAATTAGCAAATCACCCCATTAACCACATATGCAGCGCAGTGAGAACCAGTAAACCGGTGGAAAAGGATCTGAAGAGTGTTGTATTGGAAAGACACAGTCAAGTGTTTACGGAAGAGTTGGGGGAATGCAAAAAGGTTAAAGCACTATTGATTCTTAAACCGGGAGTCACCCCCGTCTTCAGACCAAAACGTCCGGTACCTTATGCAGCGCTACCTATTGTTGAACAAGAATTAGAGCGTCTGCAAAGAAGTGGAATAATCGAACCAGTAAACTTTTCTGATTGGGCAGCTCCAATAGTGATTGTTAAAAAGCCTAATAGAAGTATCCGGTTATGTGCAGATTATTCAACTGGATTAAATGAAGCGCTTGAAGCCCATCAATACCCATTGCCGGTACCAGAGGATTTATTTGCGAAACTGAATGGGGGTAAGTATTTTGCGAAATTAGACCTATCAGACGCTTATCTACAGATTCCGGTAGCGGATGAGTGTAAGCATTACTTGACAATAAACACTCACAAGGGATTGTTCCGATATAACCGACTTCCTTTTGGAATAAAGACTGCCCCTTCAATCTTCCAACAAGTTATGGACACTATGTTACAAGACATTCCTGGTACCGCGGCTTATCTCGATGATATATTGATCATGGGTACAGACTATGCTGATTTAGAGAATAAGGTGGATACGGTTCTCAGACGCATAGCAGATTATGGATTCAGGCTGCGTGCCGAAAAATGTGATTTTTACATGGAGCAAGTCCGGTATTTGGGATTCATAATTGATAAAAACGGGAGAAAACCTGACCCTGAAAATGTCGAAGCCATTAAGTCCATGCCTCCACCCACAGATGTGTCAACTTTACGTTCTTTCTTGGGAATGGTTAGTCATTATGGAGTTTTTCTGCCAGATCTGCATCGCCATCGTGCTCCTCTTAATTGCTTATTGAAAAAGGATACTAAATGGTTCTGGTCAACTGAATGTCAAGAAGCATTCCTAAAACTGAAGCAGCTTCTATCATCGAACCTTCTCCTTACACACTATGATCCCGATCTTCCAATTATAGTCGCAGCAGATGCGTCGAACTACGGAATTGGAGCAGTAATTTCACATGCCTACCCTGACGGTTCTGAGAAAGCAATCGCTCGCGCTGCGAGATCACTGACTATGACTGAAAGAAACTACAGTCAAATAGAGAAGGAAGCCCTCGCGATTATATTTGCTGTCAAAAAGTTCCACAAGATGTTGTTTGGTAGGCAGTTCACCTTACTTACAGACCATAAACCTTTACTGACAGTTTTTGGATCTAAAAAAGGCATCCCGATATATACAGCAAACCGGCTACAGAGATGGGCTACCACACTGCTGGGTTATGATTTTAAGATAAAGTATCAACCAACAACGGATTTCGGACAGGCAGATGCACTCTCAAGATTGATTAGTCTGCATGAAAAACAAGAAGAAGAGGTGCTTGTAGCTGCTATAGATGTCGAGGCCGAGGTTCACAAAATATTGTCAGACGCAGTTTCCGGACTCCCGGTCACATTTGAAGCCATTAAAGAGGCCAGCAAGAAGGATAATGTATTAAAGATTGTTCGCCATTGCATACTCAATAAATGGCCTTCATCTAGATTACACGGAGAACTCTTACAATACTTTCGTCGACGAGAGTCATTAACAGTTGTCGATTCATGTATAATGTTTGGCCATCGTATCGTTATCCCCAGAAATCTTCGACACCAAGTCATTAAACAGTTCCACAGCGGGCATCCGGGGATAAGTAAAATGAAGTCACTAGCTCGTAGCTATGCATACTGGCCGTCAATGGACCAGGAGATAGAGCAAAAATGTCGCAGCTGTTGGTCTTGTCAAGAGGCTGCAAAGAACCCAACGAGAGCTGAGCCACAACCATGGCCTAAACCGGACGGGCCTTGGCAAAGAATACATGCTGATTTCGCCGGACCGATACAAGGCAGGAATTACTTAGTTGTTGTAGATGCTTTCACAAAATGGCCGGAAGTTTACGACATGCCGAATATGACTTCAGAGAGTACCATAAGAAGATTGTCAGGATTGTTTGCCTGTTTTGGGGTTCCAGAGATCTTAGTGACCGACAATGGTACTCAGTTTATGTCATCCGCCTTCAAACGCTTCTGCAACGAGAATGGCATATTGCATCTACAATCTCCTCCATACCATCCTCAGTCGAATGGCCAGGCAGAAAGATTCGTGGATACAATTAAAAGAGCTCTGGTGAAAGGGGGAGGTGAGGGTGTCCCGGAACAAGTTATTAATAAGTTCTTGATGTCTTACAGAGTTACCCCTAATCCGGCAGTACCAGAAGAAAAGTCTCCGGCCGAGTGTATGTTCGGAAGGAAAATCCGGACAGTTTTTAACAGCATGTTGCCGCCCAGAAAGACGAATAAACCCACGAATGAAAATCGTAAGGTCAATCGTAGCTTCCAGGTGGGTGAAAAGGTATATGTCAGATCGTATCAAGGTAATAGGAAGTGGGAACCAGGTGTCATAGAACGTCGAATTGGAAATGTACTGTACCTAGTCCGGAAAGGTGTCGTAAAATGCATAAGACATATAAATCAAATGCAAAGAAATGATAGTACAGTGGTCACAGAAAACCGGCTTCCATTTCAATTGCTCGTAGATTCGTCCCCGAAGAACCATCATGAGAGCAAATATCGAAAAGACAAACGACGCAGAGAGAAGGCTGTACCACCCTCGAGAGTAATGGAGCGCAAGAGGAATGCGACACCCAAGCTTCAGGTGGATCCAAGAAAAAAATCTTACACAACGGACTTTAAAGGGGGGAGGTGTGACGACGGACCACCGGTGAACTCGAGGAAGCTGTAAGAGGCTCAGAAGGAGCCGAAGACGTTCCATCCAATCACCTGTCGGAAGAATGTTCTAGAATTCCAACGTGTAGCTTCCCCATTGGATAATGCTAATAACCCCCTGTACGCGGATTGGAAGACTGTAACGATGATTTCGTTCCCACTAAAAACTATAAATACCTGATAATTTTGTACTATGTTTGACACTGTTTGGAATAATATTCCTTTCGTTAGTCTTCTGTCTTCTTATTGCGACTTGGAAGGGTTTGGTGTTCTAGTGCTCAGTTATACGCGGTTGTATCAAGAAAAATCAGCTTTTTCAAGTTATAACACTGCCCTACGATATAGTACGCACGTCTTTGTACGTCGCGAGCATAAAACGAGATACTATATGATCGATTGGAACGGAACTAACGATAACATCAATATCGATCACTTCAAAACCGCGTATTTAGAATGAAGCCCTATTCATGGCGATTCTCCTCTGACACGACTGAAAGACAGGGGTTACAAAATTACAACACCTCAATCGGTGGTCGACAGTCAAGGTGACACTTCGGTGGCATTTGACAACGAACTTTAAATAACGCGTTTTCGAAGAAGATTAAGGTTTCTGAAACGTTTAGATGGTTACTGCACGTAAGACACACTCTGTTTCTTCCCGACATTTCGCAGTACCGTATCATAAAATACAATTTATAATATGCTCATATATTTTTTTATTCCATAAAAACAAGATGTAAATAAGTTGTGTTTTTTGTTTGACCGTTGTTTATCTGTACGCATGTACGAATACAATTAGACATGCACCTATATAGCCGTTTTTTTCTTTTGAAAGACAGCTGGAAAAGATGAAAATCCGGTGAAGATTATGATGAACCGAACTCTTCATCATACATGTTTTGCATTACTACATCGTACCACATGGCCTTTATAGTAGGGAAAGGCGACCAGACGCTACTGAACATATCAGGCTATCAGAAGAGTGTTTGCCAACGATAAGCTCGTTGGGTTTAAAACTGTGTTTGGACAAGTCTTAGGATCATAACTATGTCACTAATAGGAGGGGTGATCCGTAGCGTAAATAAATCTTCAAAACCAATAGCTCTTTGGGTCTTCGACATTTAATGTTGACCGAACTAGTTTGACTTGAATTACTTAGATGAAGGCGCTCGGTCATGACATCACACGAGATCAACAGGCCAGAGCATTTCACTTTCCCAGTCAGTGCTTGGCAATTGTAATTTAGAGGTTCAGAAATCAGCACCTGATTAACGTTTATTTTTTATATTTACGAATGTACGTTTTTTTATCTTGTGAAGCGATACGCCGTAAAGTTTTTGAACACACGCCTGAATAAGAATGCAGTAAGTAGATACAACTGGTGGGCTGAATCAAACGAAAAAGATAACTTGTTGAATTACCTATATTGAAGGAGCAGGTAGTCCAGATATCCAAACAGGCTGCCTATTGTGATCGCTAAATCCAACTTATCGTTTATATCTCGATACGGGTCAACTTTCTGAAGAACTAACCAGGTCGACTGTGTTTTTGTGTATTGCAGGTGCGGTTCGTAAAACTTTACTCCCAGTTATTTATATATTTATCACAATATTTACACTACGAGTATTTGCTGTGCACGCCAGTTTTCGCAGCGTATTATGAATGAGAGGTAGTCAAAGCGTCGTCACTAAATACGTGTACAGATTCTGAGAAACTAGCCGCTAAGATGACCCATTTATCTGTTAATTATAAATGAAAGTGTAGGCACTGAGATTAAATGAACTCTAAAGGATTTTTGAAGATTTGACTGTTTGTTCGTCTGTCTTTGCTCTTTCATGTCTGTCAGGTATGGCACATGGTGCGGGTGGAGTTTTCAGCTCGGATCTACTGAAGTTCAAAAACGTGAGCGTTTGTTTATAATAAGAACTGCAAAATTCGATGCTTTGATAACAACTTTTGTATTGACATATCATTAGCGAAAATTTTTACGATGTGAAATGTTCGAAAACTATATTATCTGTGAATGTTTACTACAAGAAATTTATTACTGCAGATATCTTTTACTACTTTTGTTTTAACAAGTAGCGCGACGCCATATTTGCATCTTTGTTCGTCGTTGCTGACGCTCATCAAATTATTTACTGTTTCGATGGCGCCCAAGAAAAAGACCAATGAGATAGTAAGCATTTAATCTGTAAACCACTAAACGACTTATTTTTTCCTGAAATATTTGGGAAATGTATTTTCTCAAGAGGTGTCTATCACTTTGAAGTATTATCTAGATTATCATCCTTGTCCTGTTATACACTCGGTTTGTCTTTCTTATTCAGCAAAAGTACTTTCTCGACCTCAAGTTGATGTCTTTTACCCGATTTTTGCTGACTGTCAATAATTAGGAGTTCACTCATGCGATTGTTATCATTATGATACTGTGGTTCATATGATAGTAGATGGTAAAGGTAATTCATTGAACTGCATGTATTTTAATTCGAGCAGTTAGTTCCCCCGTCACTTCTTGTTATTCTCATTAATTTTAGGCTTGTTGGTCACATTTGGTGATTGTCTGACATTTTGATTACTGATTTTATGACTTTACCATTAAACCCTAAAAGTTCTTACGGTCATTTGGTTGACTGATCGCTTTCAGCACTCTGAAGGGTCCAGATCTTGTTAACTAAGGTTTTGTAGAACGAATCAGTCGTACGTCGTAGGTGATGGTATTTTACTACATAAGTGCCTTGTAGCTCGTATGACTAGGAGTGTATTGATGGATCTAGATAAAGCATGCGTTGTTTAACGTTTTCCGTTCCTTTTGTGTAGCTATATAACGCAGTGGCGATGTTGATTACTGTGCGGTTTCACCCGATGTGCGTTTAAAATCACCTACTGGAAAGAAAAACAAACCATTCATTTTGCAAAAGTTTTTCTATCCTATTTTGCTCACTTGAGTAACAAATTTTATAAGTACCGTACTATTGACCTTGAGCGGCTAATTACCATACCAGGAGAGTTTGGTCTAATGATGTTTTTATATACATATAATTATCTAAATAAAGTTGAGGCTATTAATTGTTGAGCGGACTGGGGTAAGGAAGTCCGTTAGAAATTAGATTTGAATGGGTTAGGTATCAAATTCAGAGTGGATATTTCCGCACCATCGTGAAATCACAGTAGCTACATCACATGTGTTTATCAATTTTAAGCGTCCTAAAAATTAGATATATGCAGGTTATTAGTTTCTAATAACACGAGTTTTTGGTTACTACTTTTCAGATATCGTGTGAAAATTCAGTGAGTGGTATTTTTAGTTTAATTAGTTCGCCAGTGTGGTATACCTTTACCGATTTTCGAATTTTACGTTGGTATTGACTGACTACTCAAAAAATATATATTGAGAAAATGCCAAACGTTTTGTAAAGCTCATCATGCTATGTCATGATATCTTAGTGTTTGTAAACTTTCATTTGCAGGTAACACGGGGTCGTAGTAAGTCAACTAGTCGGAGTACTTCGAAAGTTCGTGCACGAACCCCAAGCTCTGCACGGTCTCGATCAAAAACACCTACTAGGCGAGCGCGCACGCCCGCCTCTGAATCCAAGGTCAGACGTAGACGTTCTCCGAGCGCTGACCCAAGTGAAGAATCTGTCAAAAGTGTTACAAAAACAACCCAATATACTGAGACTGTTTTTGACCGCCCTGTTCAAACTGAAGTGTTAAAATCATTGCCTCTAAACCATGGACTGTCTCGTTTTTCCCAAAAAATTATCAAGAAAATAGAAACAGAAAAACCAACTCATTTCTATGAAGAAGGGTAAGTTCAATGTTCTAGATTTCACACACCGTTACACTTAGTAGCTGTAACTTTTTGAATGCATAATTTTAATACAGCATTGTAGACTTTCACTTTGTTCACAAAGAGAAAATATGTATGTGCAAAATGCTACCATCTTCAATTCGATATGTCACGTCATCTAAGCATTGACAGAGTTCCGATCAGTTTGGCTTGATGCAATAATGATTGCTTTCTGTTCTCAATCGGTTCATGAAATCGAAGGATCTACTTGTTGATATTTGAGTTTTTCATTTAGATTAGTTTTTTTACTGATAATGTTATCCTTCGTATGCTGATCAAGCTATATTTACTAAGTAATGATTTTATTACTTATAGTTTTTTCTGATAAATATAAGCACGTCCAGTTGGAAACTGTATGTTTATCCTACCATAGCCTTTGAACGATCTTGTAATGCCCTCGGAGATAATTCCGAACAGTGTTTCGTTAGCACGATATCATTAAACATTGTAATACACCATACTTTAAGACATTTAGAATATTAGGCTTGATAAAGTCACAAGTAAACCATGTGTTCAAAAGCTCTTCAGGGTAATTTGCTCACTTAATCACTTGACAGTGATCACATGAACTGATCGTAATTTATAATCGCTTTTATCTCGTTTTCGGCTTTACGGGAGTAATATATTGTAAAGAAACTATCAGTAATCTCTACTGTTAATACTCATGTTTGTTAAAACACTCGTGCACGTGAATCATGTGACTAAATTATTCAAATCGACTTGTTCGAACCTGCCCGTATTTTTACATCTCTAACCATTTTATGTGTATAGAAAACTGTACCAATGATGTAAGAAACACTAGCAGTTTGTTGAAATTAGAGGAACTGGTGTATTATGAACGACCGCTGCACGGATGTTTCCGCTCAAACGGTTCCGAATAAGTACTAGTTCTGCGGCGAAGGATTCTATATTCATTATTGTCCTAAAACCCGGAAGCTTCTGCTTTCGTCCAAAGTAAAATGCTTGACTGAAAAGTGTGCCTGAATAATCAACAATACAAACAGTTTTCTGCCTCCTGGATATGCCACCCGTTCTTTCCAGTAAATTCTATCAATCAAGAACAACCGTCTGGTAGACTGTTCATTTGTCATTAGCAGGTTGTATGCTTATAGCTGACTGTATTGTTTACTCTCAATCGCTTTTCTACAACATTCAGAACAATGGGTAAAGGTGACGGTGATTATTAAGTACAAATTACTACTTTTCTGTCTTGAAAACAAAAGCGTGTATAACACTATTCCTAAAAAGCTTAGTCTAGAGCAGTAACATATTAAATAATTTTTTCGTTGACCCGGTAACAATATAAGTAAAGACTTATCAGACTACTGCAAACTGTCTTCGTTACATAGACCGGTTAATTGGTGAAACTTCCGTCATACGCAGTTGATTTCATTTATAAATCTGCAGTTCACTATCTGCTTGAGTGTTATGCACCCTCACTCCCATTAACCACTAGCGCGCATTTCATTCAATTGAGTACGGCAAGTACTCGTCTTCTGTTTGTAGCAGTGTATTGATAGAAGCATATGTTAGTACCATCGGTATTTCAAGTGGTAGCTTTTTGGGGATTCAAAGAGCATCTTTTTATCAGTCGATAGTCTGAAGCAACGTCGGTTAAGTGACGCAGTCTTGATTCATCTGCTCGAGCTAAAACATTACGGTTATCACTAATGTCATAGTCAACCCATTCCTTCTGAAATTGGTCTACGTTTGTTTCCACGTTGTTTGAAATAATAATTATCATTAAATAACAACCGTTTCGGGGGGTTAAGTGAATACAGATGTTCAGTAACTAAGTAGATTTTCATTTGTAGTTAGACGAACATGCAGTTGCAGAATAATGGATTTCCAGCACAAAAAACCTGTTATTTTCGCTTGCATTGCTCACACAGTTCCTCCTAAAAATCAGTGTTTTAAATCGTTCGTAAGTTACATAACAATCTAAGTCTAGGTATTCCTGGTTAGTTTCCATGCGATTCTGAAAAAGTTGTTTTGAAGCTTAAGTATATGAGCAAACAACTCACAAGCTAACATTTTGGTAGTACGCTATATTGAGATAGTAGAGATTTGTAGCTCAGGTGGATGATTTTGTTGGAGTTTTGTTTTGTGAGCTGGATGGTTTGGTCGTGAAGTTTTCATCGTCCTAGACGACATCATCAGCACAAACTTCAGGTAGTGTGTGCTGATGATGTCGTCCAGGACGATGAAAACTTCACGACCAAACCATCCAGCTCACAAAACAAAACTCCATCAAAAAGTACGCTATATTAAATATGTTGTTTTATATCTTTCTTATAGACTAGTTCACAAGCCGGAAGCGATCCAACCACACAAACCAGTAACACTAACTCCACTCTTAACAAATTATCGTAAAACGTTGTTTAGTCCAACTGTTGTTGCCATTATTCAAGTACTGTTCATTATACCATTTGTTTACTGGCTGAACCTTCTGATATTTGCACCCGTTTCAGTAAGCAATTTTTCCGGAGAAAATAAAAGCTTATGGGAATCAGCGTTTCCACTAATTGAAATTCTTTGGCCAACTGGTGATAATAAAAGTTTGTGGGGTCCTGCACGTCCATTTCTTGGAGTTCTTTGGCCAACTGACTGGCACAACTATATGAATATCCAGAGTTCCGTGCTCGTCTTTATGTATCTTTTGTTGCAGTGTCTAGTTGCTCGTTTTCTCCCTATTGGTCGAATTGTTACAACGGGGATCCGAAATATCGACTACCGCTGTAATAGTAAGTTTTCTTGCTGTTGGAACGAAGTCTATATCAAGTACAGTTGATTAAAAAGCATAACTGCTCCCTGTCATAACCAAAATAAGCATTAATTTAGAACGAGTATTAAGTGCTACGTGTTGCTATATGCCAGTAATTATGCAAATAAGTAACGCACTAGTACTGTATTTTTCAAATCACTTGTTCAAAATGCAATTCTATTCATAAAAATCTATTGTTGATCAACTTAATCGGTAAATCCATCGTTTCTTTTCAGATAATTTTAGTAGTTAGTACCTTCAGAAAAAAACAATCTAGCAAACCTAACTAAAGGATTGTTTATTACCATGTTTCTATCTCACCATTCATAAAGGTGAACATGTGCTTTTAGTGGTGACATTTTAAATGAAGTTCAAAATCTTATGAAACAATAAAACAAACACTTCTCATCCATTAATCTAAAAAAAGTTTCTGTTATCCTTATTTTAATATTGTATGCATTTATCCTTGTAGGTCTGATATCTTTTATCATCTTCATTGGGTTGTTTGCTTTCGCTGAAATTTCCGAGTGTACTACAATCAGAAACTTAAAACCAAGTGAAATGCTCCCAAACCTATGGCTCAGTTTACTGACCTCATCTTGTTTGGCGTCTCTTTTTTTGTCGTTTGTTGTGTATTTCGCCTCTAAGACAGTTGTACGATATACAAGACAATCAGCGGCCAAAACAAGTTAGTGAGAATGATCGACTCTGTTTTTAACCAGTTAGCTTATATGATTTCTATTTAATTTTAATCAGTGTTGTAGGGAACGCATGTGTTATTTTCTTGATTCTAGTCGGTTTCATATTCATACATTTTTAGTCTCGAAAAAAACTGTTATTCTGTATTTGCTCTTTTTAGTTTATTTATTTAACTGCACAGTACTCATGTTCATTTCACACTAAAGCATATGTACGTTTTGTTAGAAAGTGACTGTTAGCCTGCCCTTAGGTTTTTATTGTAAAGAGTGAAACCGATCACTCCAAAAAAAGTTCGTAAAACTTTATATCTTCAATGGGCTCACTATCAGTGCTGACAGTACTTATCATTTATGAATTAATTATACAATTATTTAATGCATGCTTTTCTCACAATTTATAGGTAGTATTTTCCTTGATTTTTGGTGTGGTCGTCACATACGACCCCAGTGGTTTGGTATTGATTGGAAAATGACTATAACACGGTCGGGATTGATGGCATTGCCCTTAATAGACTTAACGTATATATTCAGACAGTATGAGCAATATGAACGCATTAGCCCGGCTCTTGCTGCGCATGCTCTTATGCACGCCTTATGGGTGCTTGACTTCTTCATCTTCGAGGTACGTGGTGTAGTGTATTTTCATGCGTACTTGGATTTCTGTTCTTTGTTGTATACTGTAAGTAGCCAATATTAATTAGAAAATTGTTTTTCGGAGAATAGCAAACATTATAAATTGAAATTTATATAATAATACATTGCGATGTTCTACTGCATATACCATGTTCTCTATATTTATTTTAGCATACCTTCTCCTTTACTTACGAAGCGCAATCCGTAACATTTGGTTCTTGCTTTATTATTAGTCGACTGGTCGCTTTACCTTTCGTATATTCCATAACAAGTTCATACTTGTCTTCAAGACCTGATGTTGGCAGACAGCTAACTAGTTCTTCAAAACATAGTTGTAATGCTTGGATTATGGGAATTGCTATTGTTTTATTTTTACTGGGATTATGGATTCATCGTAGATCAAACAACCAGAAAGATAGATTCAGACGTGATCCTCACGATCCATCGTTTGCTAGTGAGTTAACGTATATTTCTTGTCGAGGTTAATTTTGCTCTTTGTACAGTTTTGATATTTTTTAAAAATTGAGAATAACTAGGGACCGTGAAACGTCTATAGTAGCTAGTTTATCCAACGCTTTATTTTTATCTTGATTGTTACATCCATAAAGAACAACTAACATGTACGCAGTTAGTGTGTAATAACTGTCATCTATTTAATCCTGAGGATGAACTGACTTAATTTATAGTTTTATTATGTTTTCCTACTTTAATGCTTTATTATTTGCAGCGTATATTATCTAGGAAATCTCATTTTCTAGTCACACGTCACCAGTTATGACCACACGTTAATGGTATGGTAACAGTCAACACCAGAGTTGGTTTGTCTCTTGTCCTAAAGCAATTTATTTATTGAGTTTCCTACAGAACATAAAATTTGCATTGGTTTTTTAATCGCATATGTTTTGGCGTTTCACAATTTGTATTGTCGTGTTCATAATTCATAGTTTAGTACTAAAGTCCTCATAACGTTATCGGTTGCTTTATCATTAACATTTTGTTGCGAAACTCAGCTGACGAAACTTCAAGTATATACACAGACGTGCATTCTGATTATAAATTCATCGAATGACCGAAGAATTATAAAGTAAGAACGGGTTCAACATGCAATGCTATCTCGTAATTTTTATTGCTTATAGAATTTATGTGAAATAGAAACTCACTAACTTGAGAGTTTGTACGTTTATTGATGCAGTGAGCTAGGCCAAATGTATCTTCAACCAATCAGATCTCGGGTAAGAGCACTAATCCTGTTTAAACCTCGAGCTACATTAAAAATCTTTAATTCTGATACAACTGAGCTAACTGTTAGTTTGCGATATAAGACAGGATTTAATCAGTAACAATAATATGCGTATAGTTTCATTTGTGTATTCTTTAGCATAATCAAAATTATCAACTTGTCCATCTGTTCCCGTTTTTAGATGCTGAAATAGTTGTTGGACCGGGTGCTCAACGATTACTAGTTTCGGGTCTTTGGGGTTATGTTCGCCACCCAAATTATGTGGGTTACATTATTTTGGCCGTGGCAATGCAGATTCCATGCGGTGAGTTTTATTAATTTCTATGTGAATAGGAGAGCAATATTGTTTGGGTCACTAGTGTTTTTCGAAATTCATCCTTAACACTGAATCTGTTCACAACACATTATGTAAATACAATACATAAATTTTTCAAGATTGGGCAACTAATTCACAGAGTTTACCAGACGACCGTTGGATTGGTCCACAGTCACCTGGGTAATTGCCGAAACAAGCCTGTTTGAATCGGCACTCGTACTGATCGCATTACTATGATTTGTCGTGTTGATCGCTGGCAATTGATACTAACTTTCCACATTACTCTCTTTATAGGTTTCGACTCTCCACTGTTATGGGGAATTTCCGCTATCACAATTCTCAACATTATTCATCGTTCTATAGTTGTGGAGGATGCTTGTTTAAGAAAACATGGTCCAGCATGGCAAAAGTACACAGCCTTGGTGCCGTATCGGTTCATACCAAAAGTTTTTTAATTACTACTTATTTCATAATATTTATTGCATTTATGTCAATGTGTTTTATATATTTTTCGCTCAATGGTCAATTCTTATAAGTTTTAATGTTTATAGATTTATGCTCTTTGTTTTAATGCAAACTTTTAGAATTCTTCAAATTGGCAGCATTCAAATATCCAAGTTTTGTTATTACAATCTATTAGGTGTACAGTTTTTTATTTAACCTTTTTTTACTCCCAATGTTTTATTCTAATAATAAGTCGATGTTTTTTAATCTAATTGCTTATCCCCATAAAAAATTACAAAAGAACAATATAGTTTTTTTTAAAAATCTATAAAGGGCTAAAAACAAATTTTGAGCGTATATTCGTAACTCAGAGATGAATTGCAACTGTGGATTCATGAACTGTTTGTAACCAAAAAGAAGTCAAGTTCAGGATATGTATATAATGGTCATCCTTCAATCGGTTTGTAGAAAAGAGTTGACACGAATTTTTGCCTGAAGCGTGTGATTACACTCAGCACAATTACGCCGTCCTGAGGAAAAATAAAAGTAATAAATGTTTCATCCAAGCATCCATTTTTGAACTTGTTAAGCAGAAAAATGTTAAACACCTCAATTGTGTAGATTGAGAAGTATAGTTTCTGTCGCTTTATAGAAAATTTCAGCAAAGTACAAATATTGTATGTGATTGCTATTAGAGTACTGTATTTTCCTAGATTGTCAGTTAAACTAGCAACTCATAATTAATTGTCTCCCGCAATTCGAAGCTACCCAGACCATAATTCTAACAGTATACTCATATAGAGTGCCCTGTCCGTTTGTATTAAAGGCCTTCTATTCAAATTGTAAAATAAACGAAGCAGATTCCAAAAATGTACAGCTACTGAAATTGTTTAATAGCCGGGTGCGTGTAATATCACTACTACGCATAAATAACAGGTCGTCACATAATGTTTGTCCGTCATTAATGTAATCTTCATGGAAATACATACCCACTCGGTAAAAAAATAAGCAAGCTAATATGTACAGAAATGCATCCTACGTACACCGGGTAAACGGAACTACTCACCTTTATCGAGAGGGCATATAGGTGGTTGACAATTACATGATTTGGTTGCGGCAGTAGATTAGGATCACAATGGGTGTTTGTATCCATATTTAAAATACCCTGAAATTAATTTTCCATAAAAAAACAAGCAGTAATGTAGACAAGGAATTCTTATTGGCATATTGAAATATTCTGTTACAATAAGTTATGAGATGGTGGATTTCCAAATATTATCGTCAACTGAGACTTGTCGGTGGTTGTATTCTAAACTTTGTATATAAACCACTGAATGTAATTCATGATACAGTTCAGTAAAAATTACGTTACATTTGCATATTTAGTGCAAATTTACAGTGATGAGTGCATGGGATTGCAATAACGTAAAACAGCCTAGATCAGAGAACTAATTGAACAACGCTGTCAATTAGGAGTGAACAGTAAGTTAGCTGCTTTTCTTTGATTGTAATTTCAACATTACCATTATGAAGGGCCTTTGTTATTATGCAGTAATACCTTAAGTATATCTACTTTCATAAGGGCTTGTGTAAGCGTCGTAATCCATAAATTTATAGAATAGTAAATTCTGAATACATTTCATGGCATTCCAATCTTAAAGCACAAGATCACTAGGTATGTGTCAATCTTTTTTGATTCCAGGTGAACAATGTCAGTATAACTGCCTCGAGATCTGATACACGTTTTACAAACTAGTATTTCCTCACTGCAGTTAATTGGGATATTCAATAGGATTGCGAGCGAGGATTCACTCGAGTTACCACGCTTATCAGGATAGAGAGAGAGCATGAGCAATGTTAATTGCGTTGAAAAGCTAATATGTACTTAAGATAGAGGGAAAGGTAGCGAGTCAACACAAGTAGGTCATTCCAATAGGTGTTGCTTAATGCCATTTAAGTTTCTTAACCACGATTTGCAATTATCCCTTAAAGCTCAATTAATCGATGATAGTTTGAAGTTCGCTGAATCTATATTCTAATGCCGTGTCTTCGTTTCGACGTTACCTTCCAACCTCCCGAGTAAACCAATATGGCAGGTTAGCGTATAGGCAGTGGAATATCACACGAACAAACAACCACAGCCTGATCAATAGACTAACTAAAACTCCAACAATAACAAAAGAAAAACTGAAGAATTAAGTTAATGGTATCTCCAACATTCCAAACTTTCGATTTGATGAGTGAACTAATTAGAACAACGGTGATCGGTCCACGAAACTAGTTTGCTTGAGTTAGTTAAGTATAAACTCATAAGAATCAATAGGAATCCCGATATAATTTTATATCATATGTTCTCATTAGGAGTAAGACAAATTTATTGATTAGATGAAACCTATTTTGTTTATATATACATGGAAGTAGTTTATTATGTAGTGTCCGTTACTTTCTAAAGGTTATTTTCTCTCTTCTATTTCTTGATAGTATTGCGAGTTTATTGATGACCTATTGCATCAAACAGCCTTATATGTGCTATTAATTATTAAAATTAAATTGCATGTAAATACATATTATTGATCAATTCGATGTATATCATCCAACATGTGTACTTGACTTGGAGTTATCATGTGTTTATGTGATGGTTATTTCTTAATAGTACTCGAATGCTAAAACCATAGTAATATTAGTAGATCAGAAAGAATTCGAAATCTATGACCTACTAATTGAAATTTGATTATCTTAATCACTATACACGACATTAGGCTAACGATGATAACTGCAGACTGTTTTACTATAATTTTGTAAAATGACTTAACAGTAATGTAGAGAATTCAATTACATGTTACCAATATTGCAACTTCTAGTATGTAAAAAACCAAAGAAAATTCCCCGTGAATGATTTTCAGAATGGTAAGTAAAATACAAATTTATTTGTGATTCATTTATGTACACATGGTATAGGTTAATCAATAGATTAGTATAGGGAAAGTCAGGAGATCATTTCAATATTTACTGTTTTAGACTAGAATATTTATTCAAATTGGTGTATTATCAGAGCGAAGAAAGCAGTTACACTACATTTGTAGAGTAAAATTTGTTTTATTGTTAGTGGAATACACATTAACAGGGACCATTAATTCAATAAAAATAAATTATTTCAGACAATTATACAAAGGGTAGAGGAAGATTGGAACAATCGGGAAGCTACACGTAGAGATTCTGAAATTTTCTTTCAAACCATATTTGGATGGAATGTCTTCAGCTCTTTCAGAGCTTCCTTGAGTTAACCGAGAGCAGTCCCCATACCTCCCATCTTTAAAGCCTTTTGTGTAAGACTTTCTGTTTGCGCCCACTTGAAAATTGGTTACTGCATTCCTCTTGCGGTTCATCACTCTTGAAGGTTGCACTGTTTTGCCCTTTCGTCTTTTATATCTCCTGCTTTCGTTCTCCTCAGGGCTTTTTTGAAATGAATCCACGAATATTTGAAGCGGGAGCCGGCCTTGTGTAATCGTTGTTCTACTATCCCTTCGAATTTGATTTACATGTCTTATACAAGTCCCGACACTTCTCCGAACTAATTACAGTACTTTTCCAATCCGACGTTTAATAATATCTGGTTCTCGTTTTTTATTACCTTGATACGACTTGATAAGAACCCTTTCACTCACCTGGAAGTTGCGAGTGACCATCCAATACTCATTTATATGTTTATTTATCTACCCTGGTGGCAATATATTTTTAAAGACTGTCTGAACTTCCCTTCCAAACATACACTCAACTGGGGACCTTCCTTCTTACATTGCCGGATTAGGTGTAACTTTGTAGGACATTAGGAAGTTACTGACCACTTGTGGTGGAATATCCTCTCCTCTTTTAATCAGAGCCTTTTTTATCGTATTCAAAAATCTTTCTGCCTGGCCATTCAATTGGGGAGGAGATCGTAGATGCGTACTGTCATTTTCACGGCAGAACCTATTTTAAGCGGACAAAATGAACTGAGTGTCATTGTCAGTTACTAAGATCTCCAGAACCCCAAAACAAGCAAACAATTTTTATAATTTTCTTATTGTATTCTCTAACGTATTCGGTATACCGTATACCTCCGGCCAATTTGTGAAATCATCGCCAAGTGGTTTCTGCTTTGCATTTGACCGGCAAAATCAGCATGTATTCTTTCCCGAGGCCGTCCAGTTTTGGCGATGGCTGAGGCTCTGCTTTAATACAAATCTTTGCAGCTTCTAGACAGGATCAAGAGCTACGACACTTCTGTTCTATATCACGGTCCATTGGCGGCCAATATGAGTAACTCCGAGCCAGTGACTTCATTCTACTTAATCCTGGGTGCCCGCTATGGAACTGTCTTGGGATTCGATGCCGAAAAACCCCGTAATAATAATCCGGTGGCCAAAAATAACTCACGAATCGACAATTGTCAAGGAGTCTTTCAGACGGAAGTATTGTAAAAGCTCTTCATGAAGTTGAGGTGAAGGCCACTTGTTGAGTATACAACGGTGAACGATCTTCAACATATTATTCTTTTCATTAGCTTCTTTAACGGCTTCGAATGTGACCGATAGCCTCGAAACAGCGTCTGTCAACAATATGCAAACTTCAAACTCAGCTTTGACGGGATATAACAAAAAGTATATTTATTATTATTAAGTTGGAATATATGAAATTCATTTAATAACACATAATTGGGACTTGAAGTTTAAAAGTGGTTATATAAATAATTAGATAAATAAACGAAAAAAAGTAAATTTCAAAATTACCTGTAACAAATGTGGTGGTAGTAGGGGAGGTTGAGGTGGCGACCCCTTACCTGGTGCGATTGACATGTGTCGACTATATACTGATGTTGATATGTTATGTAGCTCACTTATATCTGCGGGTATAAAACGACCATATTCTCCAGGGGGTGAGTAACCACCCAAATTGTCTACCTAATATCAAATGAAAACGGAAAGATACTTTTTAACATGACTGAATTGAAAAAAGAACACAAACTTAGTTATTTAAGGAAAGTATACCAACCATTCTGTGCTTAGTTAAACATGTATTTTGGATAAGATACGTACATATTTATATGTATACAAAGTTCTGACAAAATGCAGAGTCTTCTGACCACTATAAGCAACAATGCAAGCATGTTCAGCATGCGATTCTCTCCCTCGAAATGCAAAACGTTACTTCAGGATCGGGTTACATCGACACCCGAACAAATGGTTGAGAGTGAAGTAGTTGAGCGTGTCAACCGCTTCACTTATCTTGGGAGTCTCATCAGCCTTTTTGTTCTGGTGTCTGACGAAATCTCACCACGGACACAGAAGGCTCGATCAGCTTTTGCCAACTTGCGTCATTTATGGCGTAGGCGAGATACCCGTCTATCAACCAAATGACGTGTTTACTACACAGCAGTTCGTTCCGTCCTACTTTATGGCAGTGGAACATGGCCGGTGAGAGTAGAGAATATCCGTAGGTTACTAGTATTCGATCATAGGTGTCTTCGAAACATTGCTCGTATATCCTGGAACCATCGAGTAAGTAACGCAGTTGTTAGGAAACAGGTAGTAGGTGAGAATGGCAAATCAATTGATGAAGTAGTGAAACTTCATCAGTTGAGGTGGCTGGGACACGTGTTACGTATGCCCAACCACCGACTGCCTCGACGTGCGATGTTTAATGGTATAAGAGTAGGTTGGAAGAAAGCTACAGGCGGCCAGACCGAAACGTGGCACAAGTCCATGAAGTCACTGACAAGTGAACTGAGCCATGTTGGTAGGTGTAGACTACCTGGTTGGAGACCGCGAGATGATAGCAACCGATGGGTAGAGACCTTGAATAACATGACTCAAAATCGTTTGCAATGGAGCAGGTGCATCCACTCTTTGTGTTCTCCAAAATTTTAATCTTCTGATTCCTCCTTGTCTCTTTTTTTTCTCTTTCTAAATTCATTTCACTGGATTATACTCCTTGAATAACATCTTCAAACCCTAATTTTTCTGATTACAGCTTATAATCTTACTACATCTACCACTACGGGATTTGAATCGACCACTGCATCTCTGTGCTAATGTGGTGTGGCAACTCGAACTGATGTGCGTACGTACGAAGTTCTACATTGTTACTGACTGGCTGTATGCAAAGTGTAGTGTAAACGTATTAGATTATATTTTTCACTTGAGAGACCTGAAAAACTTGAATGTAAAGACAACTTTCTAAGAGGAAAGTAGACATAAAAAACCAGACGTAAGGTAAAACTGACACTCGTAATCATAAACGTAAAGTGACTGGTAATGTTAGTAGATGGGATATGAGATGACTAAAGCTTTAAAATCCATAACACAGTTCAAGTAAGCATGAATGCAAATTTACTTAAAAATGAGAAAATTAAAGCGAATGTTAAAATAAATTAATTATGTGTGGATAATAATAGTCTTAGAATTATATCATATGGAGTACTATTTAAAACCAGAGAACATTGGGCAGTCATTGTTTTATAGTATGGAACTCAGCAGTGCCCACATAAGTCTTTCAGGTCTGATAGAGAACAATAAACTACTAGAATCCCAATAAGTCGGAGTTCTATGGTACAATTTTAATGCCAATCAGCTGAGATAGTGTGAGAGTCCCAAAGGTAACTCAAATGAAATAAATCTTTAACAAGTACTATCCTACAGATTAAACCAAACGCCTAAAAACTAGCATTAATGGATAAGTGAGTGGGTGATATGTAAGATAAATGATTTTGGGTTTGGGAAATATACATTGGTCTATCAGTTGTTTGTTACTCAAAAACATTGAATAAAATCATAACACTGCTTCACTCATGTGAAAGGTCAAAACATTTATCATACACCTGAAGCAGGACAAAGAGGAAGGAAACGAATGAATTTGATAAAATACCAGTTTAGTCCTGTCTTCGGTTTTGCTGAGTCAGTTACAAAGAAAGAAGGATTGGAAACGCGTAAACAACATCTTAGTGACTGATAACTTCATGTCAGAGGCTGTATGCGGTACTAATAACAATCAAAGTGATAAAGACGAAATATATTAAAACTTAAAACCATGGTTCAGTTCACGGATTAACAAAATCCCACTCAGGTACAACTGTATTGAACAAGAACACTAATGCGAACAATCGAATGAGCATTTCACTAAAATCTGAGA